AGTCTTGGAGGACAGATGGGATTGAATATTCAGAGACCAACTGGTAGAAGAAGTAAAAATGCAGAAAAGAAACCTTTTATTTCCACAAAATTATTTTGAGAATTAACACTTAATTCCTCCTTAATATTCCAACATTTTTTTCTTTCACTTTTTCTAGTTGATATTGATGTGAAAACAGGAGAAACTTGTGTATGTGTGTAGTTAATAATTTCTCTATTTTAATTCTCTCACTGAAGAATGGGAAAATAATCTTCTATGAGATGGCACTAAGAGAAAATTTAAAATTGATATTAGGTCACTTTTGTTCTGGATTTGCCAGCTTCTTGTAGAAATGCTACCTCAAGAATTAGTGAGTGCAACTCTCCAAGATTTCTACCTGGTATTTGTTAGAGCTTTCAAAATTCCGTAGTTTTTCCAGTGTGGGATTCAGCTGTAAATGCACATGTCTGCATCTGATCTGGTCATCCTAAGCTCTCTATATAAGCAAAGGAGATAAATAGGTACTTCAAAAGTATAATTCACCTTATTCTAAAGCAGTTGTCTGAATCATAAAAAATGGGACTCAACTAATCAAATTACTTATTCTCAATCATTTCCATCATCCTAGTCCCCTGGATCAGGGTTAAAACTGGGTAAAAATTCCTTTACTCTTTTTGCAAAGAAAGACAAAGTTTTACAGAAGCAAGAATTGCTACTATATTCACCATTCGTCACTCCTAGATCAAAAATATTGTATTCCAGTTTTCAGTACACAATCTGCAAATTAGTTAAATGATTGATCTGCCCACTATTAGCTGAGATGGCTGGCAATTACACTGTAGGTCACAGCCCACCTGAGAATAAAAGCCTTTGCCTCCTTGTGTTCCGGATACCCTTGAAGTGGACCAGCCTTATGGTGAATTCTATGCAGAACAACTCCCTGTATCTCAATGATATCTGACCCAGTGCATGTAAGATAATCTTATCTCCTGCCTAAAAAATTAACATCAGAGTATGTCTTTACTGTCACAAATTTATCAAGGCAAGCTTTCCATAACACACTGATCCATCAGTCACAACACAGAAAACAAAACCACAAATTTTCTGCATATCTAGGTCAGCCTGTACTGTCTCTGTATAATAATTTAGATGTCATCTGACCACCAAAGAGTCCTGAGTGAGGACACTAGAACTCCATCATCTGATTCACAGAAATACATCTAGTAAAATCACCAATGTAATAATTTTTATTACGACTAAACAAAGCTGTTCCTCACATCAAAAAGATTTCAAATTCTTTCTTTCTAGTCTTCAACTCTTTTTTTTTTTTTTTTTTTTTTTAGTTTTTGTCTGCACTTGTATGAGAAGAGAGATGTTACTTGATCTTTCTGTCACTGATAAAAGGATTAGGAAACAGGGATGACAATATCAAATTCTGGTCCATTCTAGTCTTCAATCTCATATGAAGATTCAACCCTGAGATTAAGTTCTTGATGGAAAATACCTCACTTCATAGTTCATAATGAACATTTAAAGTCTTAGATCAGTCATAAGGACAATATTTAATTTTTACTACAATCTGATTTTGAGCCATTAATCATTTGGTGAGCCAAGACCAAGAACAGAAAGTCTCAGAGAAAGCACACTGAAGGCCAGTGGAGTTAGCCAATGCCCTAATGTCAACTCCCCCCCCCCCCCCAGCTTACAAAGGCCTAATTCTCTGGCAAGAAATCAGTCACAATTTGCATTAATGGGACCCTTCATTTTTTTTCCATTTCCAGCTTCTTACACTGCATTTACTTCTTATTTCAAGTTGAAGTCTTAGAGAAGGAAACAACAAAAAAAATTAAAAAAGCAAAGCAATATCCCGTTTTAATACAATCAAAGTACTATCTTTCTTAAGCACTGTTTTTTCCCCCCTCTTTTGTCATTTCATATCATGGGATAAAAAAATTATTAAAAGAGAAAAAAAAGTGAAACTTTTCCACATTTTTTCCACAGAAAAATGACATTATAACACAGGCACATTTAAAGGAATTCTTATTTGCTGAAGTTTGGAACACAATAAAATACAGTATAATAGAAAGATAACTGCCACCTTTTTTCCCTTCAATTATCAAGAAATTAGCCTATCTTAATTTTAAATAACATTGTGCAGGATACAATTTTAGTGAACAGCTTTAAAGAACGTTTCTTGTTCCCATTAATGTGTTACTATCCATACGTTTTGTTATTTAGGAGGTAATATATTTGTTATCTGACAAATATGCACTGAAAAAAATAAAGGGTGTTTAATATTTAGCAGCAGTGTGGCTATAAGAATTTGTCTTGACAAAGTAATGACTTATTAATTGAAACTCCTTATTAAACAAAAGTACAGATATTTAGGTCACAAAAGAAAACTATCCTGTTCTTTTATAAAGAAGTACTTCTGGAATGGAATCAATATTTTAAAAACTACACTGCATATTATAAGCCATTTCTCACTTTTTTAAAATATAAAAACATCTGTTGTCTGCTGAGAGATACAAAGCATAACAGACTTCAGTAAGATATTTACAGGTATGGCAATGCCTTACTTTACGAATTGGTTTAAAATTAATGCGCTGTTGATGCATTTAGTTTTTAGTAATTAGATTAGTCTAGTACTAATATAACTGTGTAGCTGTTAGATTGTTACTGTTCGTTTGCTCTCAAATGTATCAGGTTTATGGAACCACATTAGTAAATGACATACTGTAGAAATATTGGAACTGCTGAGCTACTGTTAAAAAAAAACCCTGAGAATTATATACACAGAAAATTAACATAATCTTTTAAAAGATGTACTTAAAAATCTCCATAGAAATAAACCAGAATACATATAATATTTCTGCTTAATCTTCCAAAACGCTTTGATAACTTTAAAAAACCAGCATGCTACAAAGCACTAGAGAAACAGCCTGCTTTGTGTAGGTATTGCAGAGCAGATGACAAAAAAAGATCTCACTTCACTGTAGATTTCCTTGCTGGTTTTTCAGACTCAGGGTTTGGATATAAAAAGAAAAATCTTATAGGAGAGGGTTTTTTTAGGGTTTGTTTGGGTTTGTTGGTTTTGTTTTCTTAATAGCAGTAGAAGGCTGACCTGACAAAAATAGAACTGTAAAATGCACTTTGAAGCTCCAAGGCCTCCCTAGAATAGCAGTGACTCCCTGTGTAATCACAGAGAACCTTTCTGTCCCTGGCATGGTGTGTTTGCTGCAGAAATCCACTGGGGCTAAAGACTGAAGCGGCTCCCTGGGAAGGCAAGTCAGCCTGCAGCTCTTGAAGCAATAGTGACTAGAGCAGCACTGCATAGCTGGTACGGAACTAACCTGACAGTAAGAGATTGTACTTATCTCCGTGCTTGCTCTCTGAGGTCTTATACATCTTCACCACTTACAGAGCAAATGCACTACCCCAAATTATCCCCCTACCCCAAATTCAGGTGGCAGAACTTCTGTAAACACAGAATTTGCTCAGGAAGGATCTGTTTCTTATGTTGGTCCAGCTTATGCAGAATGTGATGACTTCACAGATCAGTCTTAGTTTCCTTCTCTTTAAGGAGAGAATATTTAAACCAGCTATGACATCTAGCATGATGAGTACGACAGCATGATCAAGAGGTAACTGTCCCACATTAACATTGTGTACTCGCAGAGCAGTAACATCGCACTTCCCACTGCCTCACCTAACTCCCTTCCCTGTCACTCTCAGGCTGCTCTCTCCCAAGGACTGTGACCACAATAAGAGAATCTCTCATACAGAAACAAAGGAACAAACTGAACTTTGCTAACTCTAAGACAACAGACATATTGAGAAGGTCCTGCCCAGCCCCACCTAAAACTAGTATTTAGTCCATCACCTTTGAACCTAGCCTTTATTCAAAATTAAAGGAGTGGGAATAACTTTGCTTTAAACAGAATTCTCCCTTAGACCAGATACAGTCCAATCTTTGTACTGACAGTCAGAACAATTATTAGCTTTATCATTTTACTAATATGTAAAACTAAAGGCGAATCAGACTGCAGGAAAGGAAAGTGTGGCTGATGGCTGAGTATTACATGGTCTGGTTTTAGGACACTGCTAAAAAGTTTTTACCCCTCAGTTCAAATTCGGTAATTTTCTAGATTTTCATTTGAAAAATCTGAGCGAAGTTTTGCAGGCACATTCTTGGGCTAGGATGGAGAAAAGAAGCATGTTTTGCAAGAAACTAATTGAAACTGTCTGATTGATAGAATGTTCTTCTGCTGTAAGGGTAATCTTGCAATATTAATTGTTGAGGTGCCTAGAGCCCTCATATGTGCATCTTTTTATTATTTAAATATTGAAATAAAGAAATAATCTGACTCAAGCCAGCAGCAAATCAGATTTTTTAGAATTCTTTCATTAATTTTGATTGTGCTGAACCCCAGACCAGTTAAAAGAGTAGAGAAGACCAAGTCATTCATAGTCTCTTGTAACTTTTGAATGTAAATACCTCAGCTGTAAAAAAATAAGTTATCTAGGTTTCTTTCATTCATTGGGTTTTTAAATAACTAATGGCATGTTAAATGCTTCACCATGGAGTCAGCACTTGGGCTTGGCTAAATAATAATTCAAAATTACAAGAACATGTATGTCAGTATACTAAGCTTCCATCCCAGAGGAGCTATTTCACAGAGACTCAGAAAAAGAAAAAAAACCACCAAGCAATAAAAAACTTCACACACCAGCATAATTTCAAATATAATTACTAACACAATCTTAAAAATAATTTTATAAATGTGATATAATACTTTGGTAAATACACAAATTAGTATAAAACCAAGGAGTTAAATGCTTTGATATATTTAAGATCAGGAGGAATGAACCATCATTATTTAATATCAACTTCAATTTTTAAGTGCCAAGTTCCACTAAAAAGGGTAGGACCTAGGGAACTTTAAATTTAAATGATTATGATGACTAGAAACAAAGGGAACAATAAACTTATGGATGTTAAAATGCCTCAAAAAACTTACGCAGCAGCTTCTTGTCTTGACAACCCTTTGATATTCTTCGCCAAATAATCATCTATGCCATCTTTGTCTTTGATCAAATGAATCCTAAATTTAAATGAAAAAAATTAAAAGAAACACTGTGAGGTGCTAACATAGACTTCTGCAGCATGTATAATATATTAGCATTACCATGTAGAGCTAAATACTGAAATATTGACAAAGTAATACATCAGACATTATATAAAAACATACAAATACCTTTGCAATTTATTGGTCTGTAACTATTTAAAATCCTTATTTCTGAAAGAAAACAGAGTTGATAGTAGCTTTAAAGGACCTGGTTATCTGATATTTCTGTCTAAAGTAAAATAAATGTTGTTTTAACAAAATCAATAATAATTTATTAATCTTGCTATATTTAAACTGTTTTCTACACCAGAGCCATTACATTTTTGCATTATAAGTATGGATCAGAGTTATCCAATCTATTTCATGTTTAACTTTGTCAAAATTAAAAAAATAGTAATAAAAAAACCAATCCCAAACTCAACTAAAAATGTTTTCCTTAGTGCAGTGCACACTTTTAATACAACTATCAGCTTTCCACAGTTTGAACAGCATAATGCAAAAGGTGATCCACTCAGGGGGTAATCCAAAGGATAGTAAAATAAACAGCAAATTTCAGGATGCAAGGATTCAGTTTTAGAATTTGAACTGTACACTACCTTTCACTTGAGCTATCATCTCTTTGCATCTCCACTCTGATACACAAGAGATGCCCTGAAATTTAAAGGATAATATGCACTTACTGACCATAAACTGTATTTAAAGTGATTCTGATACCCTGACTGTAGAGAGTATTGTCTCTATAATAAAGTAACATGAATTTATTTTATTCTTCTTTAAAAGAGTATAAAGATTTCCTGGTTAATCCCTCAAAGACAAAAGAAATTCAACATTAGTGTTCCACATAAATTTATTACTTTCCTCTTTCTCTGTCTGTATTACACTGCTGTCTTTCATTACAGGGAAGAGAGTAAATTCTTTTTATAACACTAACTAATATAAGCGTCACGCTCCTTATTCTTCTGAGAATACCAAAGACACTTCATGAAGTTCATTTAAATGAAAACAAAATAGCTAAGCAATGTAGAGGTATTTTGACATGTCTGTATTTAAAACAATGTAATAGTAAAAACTTCCGGCACAAATAAGGCATTTAAATTCATTCCAGAATTTACTACTACTGAGTTGCACCAACAGAGGCTTATGATTTCAAGCTGCACATAATACAATCCATATGAGTTGCTTGTGACCATGCAAAATGTACACCTTATTGCCATAAAAAATCAGTTATAAGCAATACCAAAATTTAATCACTATCAAAATTTTCACACCAAAATTGTCACAATTTAGGATGATACATAATGTCATAAAGATAATGAAGATAAGGTAATTACTTTATATATTTAACTGATGCAAAAAGTATTTCAAGACACACGAGGTTTATATGAGATAACAGAAAACCTGAAAAATAGTATCTCTGGATAATTAAATATGAAGTATTCAGTAGAGAATGCAAAAAACCCTTGCAGAACTTTGCATTTTAGTACTGCAAAACTGAGCTTTTTGCACATCATTAGCTCATAGAAAATGCATCAGATTTTGGGGGCCAGGGATTTGGGGAGTCCAAAATCCCAAACAGAAACAGCTACTGCAAGCACATTCCTAGGCATCAGTCTCAGCTTGTTGCAATGTAATCTACACTGCATTAAAAAAAATCTCAGACTGGAACAAAGGAAAGCCTAATGCCATTTTAATAAAATAAATTAAAAAATCCCAAACACAAAACAAAAAGCAATTGAGGGGAAAAGGCCCTAGAATCATATACAATTTAGAATGTCATCTGCCTTGAGACCCAAGGTATAAATTTCTGATTTCTGACTGGTAACACCCTCTAACTTAAAGACAAATACAGCCAAGGGGAAAAAAAAACAACAAGCAAGACAAGAACTTGCAAGACAATTACTGTTAACATAAGTTCTGCAATTCGTTGTATTGGGCACTTGCAACTACAAACATGGTCATCCATCAGAGAGAGTTTAGGTTACCAAAAATAATAAACACTTATATTATCCTGGTTGTTATTAACAATTATGTTAAAGCAGCAATAACACAGAAAAGACAGGCAGATGATACATATGAAAAAATATACAGTAGAAAATTCCATCAACTCAAATATTTATTATTTAAAACGGCTTATTATATGCAATGATAATTAAAGCTAATAGAAGTAATTAATGTGAAGAACTGAGACTGTGACTTGAACACTTTTTCTTAACAGAGAAATGAGGGGAGGATGGCACCGGCTAAGAGGCATTGTTTCATTTCTTCCAGAAGTTGATACTTGCATTTTCCAAGCTGTTTTAGCCTTATTTCTCTAGTGTTTCCATGATGACTCACTATATTTCATAGATAGTTTATTAAAAAGTCTACTTCACCTGTAAATTGGCTCCTGTTGAATTTTAAATCACTCACTTATTAAAGACAAATATATTTTAATCCAATGGACACCTAACCCATATTTTACATTTTATATGATGTGTTCCTAAATTACTTCTCTTGCCAGTCTACACTGCAAAAAAAAATAGCAACTGATTTTTTTTTCTAGAAATAAACTTAATGATAAATACATCTGACTTTCTAATCAAAGAACAGAACAAAGTCAGATAAAGGACCAAACTGATTCTCACATAACTTTCTATCTCCACTGCCCTTTCTGTTAACTCAGATTCCAGTTTTCTCAAAATTTCTTCTCAAAGAAAATGGCAGAGCTTGTCTTGCTCTAATCACTGGGCACCTACAGCATGGTCTACACCATTACAGAGCAACAATTTTCTGCAAATATGCTCAACTTCTGTAGGATTGTTGCAGAACGATTCTCTTGAACATGAAACTCCCCACATAAAGGGAAGAAACACGCCACCTACCACTGGGGTGAGCAATACTGCATATCTTTATTCTATCAATATGTGAGAGAATACCTATGAGCATAAGCCACTCAGGAAGACTAGGCCCAAGAATACTGTTTCTAGATCCTTAGTGGCGTGGACATGAAGCTGTTGAACTCTTGAGATGCTCCAGACCTTTCAGCCAAAGGCTAAGGGGAATGCTAGGATTGAAAGGAAAAAGAAACCAACCAGCACCAAAAGAAAGGAAACAAAAGAAAAAAGCAAAAAACCCAGAAGAAAAAAAAAAACAAAAGAAAGAAGAAGAAAAACCCCACAATTCCAGAAAAAAAAAGAAATTCCAGAAAAAAAAGGCCCAGTGGGGCACAGTAGTAACTGAGACATTGGTACCCTTTGAGAGAGACAATGATAGACGGATATGTAAGAGAAGAAAATGAGTGCAAAGGAATAGAAAGTCATGCAGGCATAAACAAGAAGAAGATGGCTTGGAAGTATTATGGCACTATTTTTGTTCTCTCTCTTTTATTAGGTACAGGATACCGGTTTTCAAGCCAGTTGTATTAATTATATTTTGAGAGATGTGAAACTGTTTTGCACATGAATGAAAAAAAAAATAAAAATTGTTTTCTTCATCCAAATAATTCTGTTTTTCAGTGCTATGTGGAAATAACTTCCTATGGCTCTTGAAGAGGTTTTGGAAAAGTAGGATGAAATATATACCTTAAACAGAACACATTTCCCTTTTTTCCCCTTTTAATTATGAAACCTTCCTAAGAGAAAATTTCCTTGCCTCTGATTTTTGCAGTTTTAAGTGTTGCCAAAAAACCCAAACATAATTTGCCACCTCAGCAGGGCAGATGGAAGCTATTCACAGCAAAAAGGATATTCTGAAAGAAAAGAGGTACATACCTTGCGAAGTGTAATGAGGGATAAACAGTCTGCTCTATGAACTTGGGATTTTTTCCTGGGCTTTGCAGGACCGCTCGAGGCAACACAGTCATTTTAACTAAAACAAACAAACAAGACCAGCCTTACTTGAAACAATGTATTCACAGTGATGCAGTTTTGTATTCCTCTTGTACTGCTTCCTAGTCCACTCAATTTCTAGTGCCTTAAGTGTAAAACTGGACTCCAGTTCCCCACAAACCTTTTCAGGACTCAGCATTACTTCAGTAGGACATAACCCATAGAAATGATTATAATCTTACTTTAAATGCTTTTTCTCTTTCATTGGAGTCCTTTGATTTGCACAGGGACAATTGACTCAAGAACCTTACTTGCATGTGATTCCCTGTGCTTCCTCAAGCTATATAGATCCAAGTATTAATAATATAGTAAGTTAATGCATGTGGTAGAGAAATGATTGAACATGCAGTGTGCAATGAACAACAGACACTGTATTAAAGTTCAAAATAATACATAATTGTAATAGTAACAATCTTTTGAATAAAAAAAAAACATAAGTAATGCTATACTTGCAACACAGGGTTTTACTTAAAACAAAAGCTGAAAGCCCCACAGTTATGTAGAATCGTCTAGCTTGTCGTTTTGAAGTACATAAATGCAAATAGGACTTTTTTTGTCATATAGAGCTACTGTGTTTTTTCCCCAAGTATTCAGTCTACACTTCCTACCATTAAAGTTTCATCTGCCAGTTCCTTCATTTTGCATGTCTGTGATCTGAGGACATTAGCAGCAGGAGCACCCTTACTTTTAAATTTCGTTTAATGTAGGTATTGCATGCCCTGCTGGTAGGCCTCAAGGCACAAACTTTTAATAGGGATGCGAAAACAGAATATAATAGGAAGGGGGGGAAGAATTTAACTATTTGCTACATTTAGTGAAATGAAATTCGTCTTATGGGAAATAAATGTTAGATATGAGTAAACTCGATACTGAACGATCAGCATCAGACTAGCAGATATTTTAGAGATTAGCCTTTCTGGAATTAAAAAGCTTTTTCATTGAGGTGACATATCCCTACAGTTACAGTGGAGTAATACTTCAATTATGGTGTTTAGAATGAAATAAGAAAGGCAATTACAGGTTGAAAATATGACAGGACATGTTACTTCTCTTAAGTAATTCTTTTAGGGCTTAGTATCAATGATAACACTTGTTACAGATATAAAAAATATATTATTTATAAATAAAATAATCTACAATTGGAGGCAGCAACTTTTTACACAAGTGTGCCATGCGAAAAAAAAAAAAAAAAAAGAACCAATAAAATAAAAACATGGGTAATTCATCACTATAAAAGATTTTACTTCTTACAGAGAATGACAGGTTTGTATCCAGAAGCAATATAGTACAGAGATACTCGTTTTTAGGAAGATGCTATTCAGTGAGAAATAGCAATTAAACTTTGTAACAGCAATACTAAAGCTCAGAGAAGATGCCAAGCTTTCTGCAAGATATTGGGTGGGAAAAAACAAACAGACCTTGTCTTACTGGCAGCTATTGAATTTGGAAAGGCAGGAGACCTGACCATCTGCAGCTATTGGGCAGAAAAGGTTGAAAAGCAGCTGAAAGGAGGCCCTAAAAGCCCTGCTAGAATCACTGAAACCATGAAAAGCTACAGGCAGGTGAGTGTACTTTGTGGAGTGCCATAGGTCTCAGGCTCCCAAGTTGCACCCACTTGGGACCTGGCTGGAGAACACAATAGCTTCTAGCTGGCCCACAAGATCCAGGTTCCAACGCCCAATCAAGAATACAAGCAGACAGACTGGCATGCATGTAAATCTCACACTAATGTGAGGCACATATGCAGATACGTATCTGACTCCCTTAATGCTTCACAAGGATTAAAGCTATTAAAACTGACTCCTGTTTCAAACTCAAAGCTTGAAAAAACTAATATCTGCTTCATAATACTGTCAATTTAATTTTTATTTTAGAGGTGGGGAGTTGCTTTCACAGTGAAATGGATGGTGTCTTCCCCCTCATTTCCAAGGTAACTGTACTCTTTATAGGTAAATTACAACCACAGAGATACATTAGGGAAAGTATCAGCAACACATCCTTCTGAAACACATGCTGTTACGTTCACATAAATTTTGTTGCTGATCATTTAAGACTGCTGACCCCTTTACATCTTACCTTCTCTTATTATAAGGCCCAAGCAACACCTCATTTACTTAAACACCCACAGAACTCAGCAAAAGACAAGGCAGTGCAGCCTGCTCCTACAGAAGGGCTCAAGGGCATCTCCCCACAGGCTGGGATGGCTCCAACCTGTGCAGAAGCTAACGGTGAAACTCCAGCTGATGGTGACGGCCTTTCTGAACCTGCCCACCCCCACCAGCCCTTCCCACACATCTCCCGAGGCACCACAAACCTCCCTGGAGGCTGAGCGTTTCCCAGAAAGGGAAGCAGCCTGGAAAGCAGGCATGGCCACATCCAGCTGCCCTGGTGGATGCGTTTCCTGCTACCTGTCACCTCATCAGATGAAAGGACGTCAGGGCGCAACAGGACAGACCTGCAGCCGTGCTGCTTTGTTAGGCTGAAAGTCACAGGAAAGCGAACAGCACGACAGATTTTGTTTGTCCCAGGCAACCTGGGTGAGGTCACAGCCCGAGGCAGCGCTCGGTTTCACAGCGCTTGGCCCATATTCCGAGCCTGGTCTGGCCCCACAGCCACCCAGCCAG